TGCTCCCTTGCAGGCAGTCGAGGGAGTCCAGCAGCCAAGGATGGCTTCTCTGCTCCCAGCCACACACTTCTCCCGGGACTCTCACCCAGGAGCTTGTAGTCAGCTTCTGCCAGGGCCTCAAACGGTGCCGGCTCAGCCTTTGTGCTCAGTCTGTTCCAGCTCTCCCCTCTGATTCATCTCCTCTTGCCCTTGCCCGTGCAGCCCCCGAACCGCATCCTTTGCCTCTAGCCAGCATGCAGGCATGTGCCTTGTGCTGTCTTCGGAGGCTTCTGCTGTCCCAACTCTGTGTTCCCATAAAGAAATGCAATGGTCTCCTGCAGGTGTTCCCAATAAAAGAAGGGTAGCAGTTCTGACAGCTGTGCCCAGCCCACAGCATGTGCTGGCGTGGTCGTGCATTGGCAAAGGCGTTGACGGGTGTAACGCAGCACTGAGCAGGGAGGCTGGCTGGTGCCGGCACAAGGATCTTGCCCAAGGTGCACCGGCCGGCACAGAGGCCCGACTCCAGGGGTGCGACGGACATGGAGCACAGCTAATATGTACCATTCACATTCCAGGTTTGCAGGAGCTGGAGGCCGGGAATCTCCCAGCTGCCCTCTCCCTGCTCCAAGTGGCTGCAACCGGGTTCTGCTCCAAGAGAGTCCTGGCCCAGATCTACATCTGCCTGGGCTGCTGCACTCAGCAAATGGTAACGTGCCATGTTTTCACCAGGAGCAGGGAGGCTGCATGAGCCGGTGCCTGCAGGGAGCAGGAGGGGCAGACTAACAGCCACGCTGCGCGTGCCTGGGGCCGAGGGCTGCAGCTGGAGTGTCACTGGGCTCCATCAGGAACTGTAACCTCAGCTTTCTCGGGCAGCAACTTGACTTTCCCAGGCCAGCACTTCGGCTGTGCCAGCTGCTCTCTGCTCTCTCCTGGGGCAGCTCAGCCAGCTTTGTGGTGGGTTAGTGCAGCCCGGTTCCAGGCAAGGGGAGGCTGGAGGGCCCAGCACAGAGGCTTGTTGCTGCCCTGGGGAGGAGGAAACCCTGAGTGCTCCCCTCTAAAGCGCGGTTGGGGATGGAGGTGGAGCAGCCAGATCACCAGACTGCAGGGTTTCCAGTCCAGCCCCTTGAGCCCAGGGGGTGCCTGGCACTATGTGATTTGCCAGGCTAGGGACTCTTCATGCCTTGTCCTCTGCAGCTCCTCTGGGCCCCCTGATTCTCCTTCCCCCACCCCATTTTGAGGGCCCAGGCCCCCTCCTCTAGGAGGATGCCTGGAGCGTCTCTCTCCAGGTGATACTCTGGAGCTGTAGCAGGGAGTGAGGTCCTGCTGTCTGGTTCTTCCTGCCCCCAGGGTAAGCCACAGACGGCCCTGCAGCACCTGAAGCAAGCCCTGCAGCTTGATTTCCAGTGCCTCGCGGCCCTGTCCCAGGCGGCAATGGTGTACCGCCAGCTGGGGGAGACGGACGCGGAGCTGGAGGCCCTGGCTCTGCTCCATGAGGTTTGTCTGCCCAGCGGGGCCTCTTGGGGTGGCATCCTGAAGCTGTGCGGCTCATTGCTGCATCAGGTCTGGCTGGGCTGTACAGACCCTGGAGCAGGCTGGGGTGTTCCCGGGCGCAGCCCGCCAGCAGCCCTGGTTGCAGCTGGGCAGGGGGAGCCAAGCCAGCCAGGCAGACTGAGCCCCACAGCGGCTGCTCCAGGTGACCTCGGAGACTGCCTTGGCCTTACCCAGGCGGTGGCATGAAGTGGAGAGGCTCTGCTTGGTGTCAGGTCGTTGTAGTGACCAGCCATTGACATGGCACTGGCCTGTGGTGGGGGCACACCGGGGCCTGGTCCCACAGGCAGTCACAGTCCTTAGCTCAGTTGGTTTTAACAAGCATGGGGCAGACAGAGCTCCTCCCTGCCGTCCAACATGCCAGGGCAGGGGCAGGGGCAGGGGCAGGGTGGGGCCCTCTGGGAGCGCTGTATCCCAGGCAGGTCTCTGCCCTCGGGGCATTGAAGGGCCCTGCGCTGCTGTGTGCTTACGGTACCAGTGCTGCCCTCCACCCCAGAGGTGGCTGCATGAGCAGGTCTGGGTCTCTGGGGCCTCTACAGAAACGGAGGAGCCTGGGCACAGCTCCCTGGGGGTAGAGCAGGGGTTTACCTCCCGTAAGCTCTGTGCTTCCCCTGCCTCTGCAGGCTCTAGACAGCCCCGCTCCGGAGGCTGGCTCCGCTGCACCTGGCTCACTGGTCCGAACGGAGCTGCTGGTCCACCCCCCGGCCTTGGCGTCGCTGCTCCGCCAGCCCTCCCCCTCCGAGGTGAAGTACCTGCTGGCCCAGAGGTGCCTCCAGGCTGGAAGGTGAAGCCCTTTCCTCTCTCCTCTTGGGTGGGGACCCCACCTGCTTGGGACCCCCTGTCTCCTTTGGGCTCCTAGATTGGCACCAGTCGAACCCATGCTGAGCATCCAACCAGTGCCAGGCCAGTAGGAATCTGCCTGCTTGGTGCTGGGGCTGGTGTTGCAGGGACAGGCAAGGGGCCCAGCAGGGCTCCCACGAGGCCTCACTGCCCTTACCAGTCCTGGTCCTACTCTTTGAGAGAAGAGGCCTTTTCTTGGGGTTTCCCCCTGGTCCCTGCTCCCCCATGGCTGCAGGGGAACCTCCTCCCTCCCTCCTCTCTGTGCTGCAGGACGGCAGAAGCGGGGGAGCACTACCTGGACTTGCTGGCTGTGCTGCAGGAGGGGCCCCGGCACCAGGTGAGAATTTGCCAGGGGCCTGGGGGGGTGACTGGGCTTGTGAGACACTGTGGGAGCCCCGTCCCTTGGATCCTGCAGGGTGGCTTCTTTCCTCGCCCACACTTACATCTCCTCAGTCGCTTCCTGGCACCTCTGCAGGGCCAGGGGCCCCAGCCTGCTCTGGGCACCCAAAAGCACCAGAACAAGGGAGCAAATGTTGGGGGTTGAGGCAGGGCACTGAAGGGCTCAGCTGTAGGCAGGGAGGGGAAGGGAGCCCCGCACAGAGCACATGGACCTGGAGCTCTTGGGGTGTCCAGGGGGAGATGCCAAGGTGCAGAGGCCTCCCCACCCGAAGGCCATGGCACTGCACTGCAGTGCACATTAATGTGGTCCGTGCAGTGCGAGTGCTCAGCCAGGGCTGGCTCAGCGCTGTCTGGTGTGATGCTGCCAGGGCCACGGCTCTGCTTCCTTGCTGTGTTCCCAGCCTGGCTCGGGAAACCCCAGCTACACAGCCGAGGCCTCTGGCTTCTCACTCAGCCTGGGTGGGGGCGGCTGCAGCTGAGCCACATGAAAGGTCCCCCCTCCAAGCACAAGCCAAAGCGTGCCGTGCCTGGGTAAGGCTTGAGGCCTGCGGCCACATGGGAAGCTCCAGTCCTGAGGAAGCTGCGTGCTCCCGCCCCGCAGGTGCCGCTGCATGGCCAGTCGGCTCTGCCCAGGATCCCCGAGGTGTTCTTGGAAGCCGCGTCTGCCCTGGAGCAGCTCGGGAGGCACCGGGACGCCATTGCTGTGTGCGAGGAGGTTGTCAACCGAACGGGTGACCTGACTCCTGAGACGCTGCGCATTGACCTGAGCTCCTGGGACGGGGCGGAGGCAGGTTCCCCATCACCCAGGCCAAGGTCGGGGCTGCCCCGTGACATCCTGCCCCAGAAGAAAGAGAGCCTGCGCTGCATCCTGTGGAGGGCAGCCGCGTACCTGCACCAGGGCTGGGCGTGGGCTGGCCTGGCGGACAGCAAGGAGGCCATAACGCAGTTCACCAGGTGCCGTTACTGCAAGCAGAGGGAGAGGGAGAGGGAGCTGACCAGGCTGCAGCCAGCTGGGGCTGACGGCAGCTTGCCAGGAGCAGCAAGGCAGCCTGCGGGGGCAGCCCCAGAGCCCAGCTCAGCCTATGCGCAGGGTGTCTCACCTCCACCCACAACAGGGAGACTTGGGGCCATCCTCATATGGGCCTCGGGGACGACTGAGCCCTGGGGCTCTGGAGCTGAGGTACGGGGCCTGTGCAGGACCCAGGGCGTGCGTTCCTTCAGGGCAGGTGCTCTTGTCCTTGGGCTGAGGTTCCTGCTGGCCCGTGGCCTCTAGGACTGGGCAGCAGCCCTGGGAGTGACTAGCAGGGGGCACAGCCTCTGCCTGGCATCTCTGGAGCATCTTTTAACACCCTTTCCAGCAACGGGATATTGGCTGCTGCAGCCCCTCTGCTTTCCCAGCAGCAGGGTTGGGTGTGACGTCTGGTGCTGTGTCAGGGTGATGGTAGTACTACGAAGAGGTTAGATTATAGATTTGTCTAGGAAGGTTTGGACAGGGCTGATCCTGGGGTTGGACTAGATGTGGAGGTCCCTTCCAGCTCCACTGCTCTGGTTCTGTGATTTTTCTTTGGCTTGTCCCCTCCAGGTGCCTCAATGACCTTCTCAGAGTCCAGCTTGTGAGTGCAGGTAGGTACAGCTGCACCTGCCCTGGCCTCCCTTGGAGGGGTATGGGTCCAGGCGTGGGCTGGCAAAGCCAGTGTGCGGCAGGTGGTGCCTATATGGTGCCCTGAGCATGGGAAGTGCTGTGGCAGGGCCTGTAGTGTTCAGCTGATAGGCAGAGCTCTGTGCCAGGTCTCGCTTCGTGCTGGCATGTACCCGCCCCGTGTCCTGAGCATCTCTGGAGCATTGTCCAGGGCTGAGAGGGCCCAGGGGACAGCTCGCCTCAGCTGCCTATGTTCTCTCACCATTCCCGGGCTGCCTGTTGCACCTGCCATGCCCTGAGTAGCAGCGAGGAGATCCAGACTCCAGGGAATAGATCTACCTGCTCTTGCACTGTTCTCTGCTGGCTCAGGGGTCTTGGGAAGGCTTTTCCCTGCTGCTGTTGGCTACTAGTTCAGCTGTGGAGGCCCAGAGGGCTCGTATGCGCGCTACAGACACCTCCACGCTAGCTCAGACTGGAAGCACCAGAGCTGTGCTGAGGGCTCCTGTGCCGATTTGTCCGGCCCCTTGGCGGAGCCAAGTCTGCTGCTTGCTGCTCAGGTTGCAGGTGCAGACCCTGTCTGGTACATAAGATGGGGAAGGAGTGGCTGACCCCGTCACGGCCCACCCGCAGCACTGGAGCCAGCTTGCTGGCTAAAGAACCACTCTCCTCTGTCATCGGCAAAGCCAGGAGTGCTGCCGGCCCGCATCCCGGGGTCTTCATGGGGCAGCTCAGGGGAAGCCAAGAGGAAGAGATTTCAGGGAAGCCCCAGCTCACTGTTACCACCATAGCTGAGGTGAAGGCAAGCGGCAGCCTCCCCTTCTGGGAGCCGGTTTTGGTCCCCTTTACACCACTGCTGACTCAGCACCAGCAGCTGCTTTGGATCTGCCCGTCCTGTCTGCCTTCCTCCTACGCCATCTCCGGGTCCCTTCCCTCCAGGGGCTCCCCCGTGGCTCTCCCTGAACAGCTTCCCTCTTGCCGGTTAAGGCCCGCGCTGGAAGGCGTGCATCCGGCTGCAGGATTGACTGACGCAGGCATTGATCAGTGTGGAGACAGCTCCTAGTAGGGCTTTGCTAAAAGCAGACCTGACGGAAGGTGGAGCCGCACCTACCGGTGCCTCGGCCTGAACGACCTCTTCAAAGTCAGGTTTTACCGACCTCTGGCAAAGTTGCTTCGTGAGTTTGAGTGTTAAAATTGGTGCCGGGGGTCCAAAATGCACATGCACATGAATGACAAAAGGTGCTGGGATCAGGGTGGTTTGTGAAGAGGTGCTGATGTCTGTGTTGTAAATGCCTGAGGCCCCTGGCAGACATTATGCTTAGCACGCAATTCACCAGTTAATCGCCTCTTAAACAGTAACCCAGTCACACATGCAGGCAATTCATGGTGTGATAAATTGGAAATGGGCAACAGAATGATTCCAAAAAATATGTGCAGTAATTTTGTGGCTGGTTTTCGTTGTGCCCTAAGTTGAAGGTGTGACAGGGTCCCTACAGTGCAGCCTGATGCCCCAGGGCTGCCCTGGTTTAGCGGGCACCCAGCTTTCCACCTGGCCGTGCAGGAGAGACCTGGGGTCTTGATCCTGGCAGTTCCAGATTTGCATGTCCTGTCATGCAAGTAGTGATGGTGTGACTGGGATCTGACCCGTGCCAGTTCCAAATTTGCATGTCCTGTCATGCATGCACCGGGGCAGGCTGGGGACCAACTGGCTCAGCAGCAGCTCTGCAGAAAAGGACCTGGGGGGACAGTGGAAAATAAACTGAACAGGAGCCAGCAGTGTGGCCTTGGTGGCAAGAAGGCAGCCGGCATCCTGGGCTGCATTGGTAGGAGCGCTGCCAGCAGATCGAGGGCGGTGATCCTTCCCCTCTATTCAGCATGGGGGAGGCCACATCTGGAGTCCTGTGTCCAGCTGTGGGCTCCTCACTGCAGAAAGGATGTGGACACATTGGAGAGAGTCCAGCGGAGGGCAATGAAAATGGTCGTGGGGCTGGGGGACAGGACTGGTGAGGAGAGGCTGAGGGAAATGGGCTGGTTAAGTCTGCAGAAGAGAAGACCGAGGGGGATTGAATAGCAGCCGTCACCTCCCTGCAGGGGGGCTGCAAAGAGGATGGAGCTGGGCTGGTCTCAGTTGGGACAGATGACAGGACAAGGAGAAACGGGCTCGAGCTGCAGCAAGGGAAGTTGAGGTTGGATAGTAGGAGGAAAACCTCATGAGGGTGGTGAAGCACTGGACCAGGCTCCCCAGAGAGGTGGTGCAGTCTCCATCCTTGGAGGGTTTGAAGACCTGGGTAGACAAAGGCATGGCTGGGATGATGTAGTTGGGGCTGGTCCTGCTTGGAGCAGGAGTTGGACTAGATGTGACCTCCTGACCCTCATTTTCTGTGATTCTGTGTGAAGCAAGGCAGGACGCGCAATGGTTGGGGTCAGAGATCCCATCGAGTCAGGAAATGACTATGTGCCACGGGCCTGTGGTAAACAGCTGCTTCATCCGTGTCTAAGAAGGACGTGACATGTTAGGAACTTTGCCCAAGGCGCAGGGGGTGCCATACACGCGTTGAGCCTGTGCCCTGCCACCAGCCTCCAGGGCTTATCTTGTAGCCCTTTGGACAAGCTGGTAAGGGAGCTGGGCTTTCATAGATTCATAGATGCTAGGGTCGGAAGGGACCTCAATAGATCATCGAGTCCGACCCCCTGCATAGGCAAGAAAGAGTGCTGGGTCTAGATGACCCCAGCTAGATGCCTATCTAACCTCCTCTTGAAGACCCCCAGGGTAGGGGAGAGCACCACCTCCCTTGGGAGCCCGTTCCAGACCTTGGCCACTCTAACTGTGAAGAAGTTCTTCCTAATGTCCAAACTAAATCTGCTCTCTGCTAGCTTGTGGCCATTATTTCTTGTAACCCCCGGGGCGCCTTGGTGAATAAATACTCACCAATTCCCTTCTGGGCCCCCGTGATGAACTTATAGGCAGCCACAAGGTCGCCTCTCAACCTTCTCTGGCGGAGGCTGAAGAGGTCCAGGTTGTCTGATTTAGGAGGAAAGACTGAGAGAACCAGCATTATTTAGTCTGAAGAAGAGAAGACTGAAGGGGGATTTGATAGCAGTCTTCAAATAAATGAAGGGTGATTATAAGTGCGCCGCCCAGAATTGCACGCAGTACTCCAACTGCGGTCTGACCAGCGCCCGATAGAGGGGAAGTATCACCTCCTTGGACCTATTCGTCATGCATCTGCTGATGCACGATAAAGTGCCATTGGCTTTTCTGATGGCGTTGTCACACTGCCGACTCATGTTCATCTTGGAGTCCACTAGGACTCCAAGATCCCTTTCCACTTCTGTGCCACCCAGCAGGTCATTCCCTAGGCTGTAGGTGTGCTGGACATTTTTCCTCCCTAGGTGCAGCACTTTGCATTTCTCCTTGTTGAACTGCATTCTGTTGTTTTCTGCCCAATTGTCCAACCTGTCCAG